TGTCAACAACCTAGCATCTTAGAATCTAATTTCTAGGCCCAAGAGATAATTAATGGACACGTAAAGTTTGAAACTACATTAAACATGCAAATGGACAGAATCTATTTCCAGGTTCCATCACTGTCCAATTATTTTTCAATCCCTTAACTATATCCAACGACTCCAAATTTTTCACCACGCTTTCATAACATGTATGTGAAGGTAATTATGTCATAAAGTTGTGACAAATGAAGGGTTTGTGGCTTCAAAACAGTCCCTTTTTCACTACACCAAATCAAGTAGTTTCCCAGTAACGATTTTCGGTTTCCATTGTATTAGTATGCCACCAATAAGACTCCAGGCCATTAAAAAATATTTCTATACTTATTGATTGCATATAAAAACATTCCTATGATGTAACAATAATGCCCATAAGGATGAAGGATAAATAATAGGTTTTTAATGATTCTTATGCGTCAAAGACTGAGGAAACTAATGCGGGTTACTTATAATAAGAAATAATCTATGTGAGAGAGAAGTGAGGCTCCTTGTAAGTAAATTGTGTGTGGCTTAATTCTTAGAATTCTCGCAGAATCAGGGAAATCTTCATGGCCAAAATGAACTATGAGAACTGAATCATATTAGGAAGAAGCCTGGGTAGATTGTGTCATCGTTTACACAAATGGTAGAATAATCCAAGGATATCATGTCCACTAATCAGCTAGTAAACTAAATATACTTAAACAAGGAAAGGTTCAAAGGGCAACACCTCTCTATTCTATGTAGGCTCCAACCACTATAGTTTATCATCATGTCTATCTGTCATTGTTGTTAATTTCATTCATGTGGGAAATTGTTGGAAAGTAATATATTAAACCAATATATTCAAGTTGAATGAAATTGTAACAACAATCATAGGTTTCAATTCTAGTCAATTCCATAGTTAATTTGCATTTGAATTAGTTCAATTCCATAATCAATTGGTGGTTACAAATTCATTCTTGGCTACTGTAACATTATTTGTGTTAAATACAAAATTAACTAAGATTTTGAAACATCCTTCATCTTAGCATTTTATAAATAGGTGATCTCATTCTTATTCTACACATTAAAAATTTGGGAGTTCTTTCTTCACATTTGCTCTCGTCTCTTTGTTTCAAGAGTTTAGCTTTTAGTAACTTAGTTTATTTTTTTGTTGTAACTTGGTGATATAATTGTGAGCATTGTTAGTTCACCTAAAGTAGTGATGAGGTACTAGTCAGCTACTTTCAATCGTTGTATAATGGAAGACATATGCCATCAATTCTCTTGCATCACAGTGGGGGGCAAATCTATTTTAAAGAAACCATGTATAACACAGTACTCGGCTCCTTTCAATAATGCTACTGCTTCAACAACTATTTTCTCTAATTTTATTGTTACTCTATTTATTGTAATGCTTCATTCCATGACTTTATTTATATAATTCCAGAAGTATTTCTAATTGTCTTTTTGTATTTTTACTAACATCTTTTACCCAGTAATTTCTCGATTATATGAAATGCTAAAATTACATAATTCTTGGTTGACTTAGACTAAGTGTAAATTTTGTATGAAATTCTTTTACTCATAATTAATATTTTATTTATAAGTAATTTTTAATTTAAAAATTAAAATATTTATTTATAAATAAAATTTTAAATTATGAGTAATTTTTTATTTATAAGTAAATTTTACAAATACAAATTAATTTTATAATTTTAAATAATATTTATAGATGAATATTTTTTTTACAATAAGTAATATTACATATTTTATAAGTGATTTTTATCTTATTAATAATGTTTTTAATTTATAAGCAACTGCTTACACAAAAGTGATTTTCTATTTTATAAAAATTAGCTTTATAAAACAACATGTTACAATCCAGTAAATATACTCAAATAAAATGACTTCGCTTTTTTGTTTGTCCGGTCTCATTTCGCATCCTAATGCAAGTCCTAAGTAAAATATTTATTTATAATTAAAATTTTAAATTATGAGTAATTTTTTTTTATTTATAAGTAAATTTTACAATTACAAATTAATTTTGTACTTTTAAACAATTTTTTATACATAAATGATTTTTTACAATAAGTCCTAATCTCTTTCAATTGCCGCTTTTCTTCTTCGTTCTCTTCATCTTCTGGATGATTCTTGTGTGTGATTTTTGAGTGAAATCTTGTAGTACTGTAATAAAAGTGATGAGATACATCTCTTAGTGAGATTAGTGTATGATTTCTGAGGGCTTTCTGTGACTAAAAACGGCAGAACATTTTCATCCTTTGTAACTTGATTTTACCCGATTTTGGGGACTGTGATAGTGGATTCGAGTTTAATCCATATGGATGCTCAACGACGATGTAGGCGTTAGATGGTCGCTGAACCTCGGGGCCTTTTGGCTGAAAAATTCCTTTGTATTTCTTTACTTTCTTTTCATTTATATTTTGTGATTTTACTGTAAAATAATCGAGTCAGAAAAATTCGTATTACTGGGAACTACAAGCAGAACGGTCACTTCAAAATCAGCTAAAACATATTGTAAACTTTTAACGAACCATATTATTATACCAAGCAATCGATAATAACACATTTGATCAAGGGGATATGTCAGTCAACCAAAACAAAAACATATCTTTCATTGGAGAATTTTTACTTGGTCCTTATTTTTAAGAAGGAAATGAATAAAGCAGGCCCCTTTCATGTTGTTCTCATACTGGTCTCCTCCATCAAGGCACTCTACTTAAATGGTCTACTTTAGTAGTATATTTTATGTGTTGGAAAAATAATCAGTTGCAGAATAGTAAAATGCAAAATAAAACTTATCGTCCGATTGAATCTCATGACAGCATGATGTCCTAAAGTGAAATTGCCCGTCGATTATTGCTGCGACCTTTGTGGACAATCACTCCTGGGATACAACAATCATAAACAACTTGTACAGTAATTCCGAATGGTTTTCAGAAACCTCAAGTGTATTCCAGAATATATGTAAAAATCCAAAAAAAAAAAAAAAATTAAGGATATGATAAATAAGATTTCGTTTCAAATGATTTTCTGTTTCCTTTCATGTGTATTTTTCCCAAAACGAGAGGTGAGTATCTATAGGCAAACTGGGTTTAAATATCTCCTCCATGACTAGAGAATTATGCAATATTTTAATGATTTTGTGAGTAGTGGATCGTTACAAAAGGTCACAAAATACTGACTAATTTGACCCATTAAATAATTAAGAAAATAAATAAACAAATAAATAATTTATTTTAGTCAAGGAAATCCAAGAGCCTGCTCCAGATCCCAATAAAAAACTTTTTAATAATTGCATGAGAGTGACCCAAACTCCTGACGTCCCACACAAATGTCACATTTCCCAACACTTGAACACTTTATCTAAACTGATTATTTCTTTCACATTTTATATTTATGGTATAAATATATAACAATATGCAAGCCGTAAATCAATACTATGAAAGGCTAATTTTGTTGTACTGCTTTGAGAACTTTAATACCTTAGAATATTCAATTAAACCTGTGATGATGGCGTGCGATTGCTCAGGCAGAATAAACTCAACTGGAATCCAATCAATGAGCTTTCAACTTTTTCATCAGTTCTAACTTCAAGTAAAGTGGGATTATCTAAGGAGAAATCTTGAGAAAAACCCTCTTCCAATCTGGTCTTCTTGTCATCTCGAGAGATTTTAGAAAGTTGAATCATTTACCAAATAATTTCTCGATTATTTGAATTGTCAAAGTTACATAATTCTTGGTCGACTTAGACTTAGCGTCAATTTTGTATGAAATTCTTTTACTCATAAATAATATTTTATTTATAACTAATTTTTAATTTAAAAATTAAATTACTTATTTATAATAAAAAAAATTTAATTATGAGTATTTTTTTTTATTTATAAGTAAATATTACAATTACAAATTAATTTTGTACTTTTAAACAATTTTTTATACATAAATGATTTTTTACAATAAGTAATATTATATATGTTATAAGTGATTTTTTATCTTATTAATAGTATTTTTAATTTATAACGGAAAATCAGCTTCAGTTTTGGACTGCAAAACATATGAAAAAATATTTTATATCTGCAACTTGAGTAAAGCATGACATGGCTTGTCGTTCTGTCAATTGCCCACCTGCAAAATTAAATTCAATAACTGGAAACCGAAACCAACAACGGAATGGGCCTTTCCCACTGTAGATAACAGTTGGACTGTTTTCGACCGAGGGATATATTGAATATTTTATTCGTATTGAATCGTTCTTAATAATTTAAAACTCTTCTGAGAATTTTATTTTTGTTAGGCTTAGATTGTGAGCAGTTAATTATTCACGGTGAGCGAGTAAACATGATTGTTTGTTTTTCTTTCCTTTATTGTTGTCTTGAATAAGAATAGAATTTTATTCACGACGAGAATGAATTAGTATTGCTCAAGTTTTTTATTTGAGACTAACAGTAATCACGGGTGTTGCAAGTCTTATGTACCGAATGAATGATATGAGTAATATTTTTAAAGTTAGGTAATTGATAATGTTAATGAACAAGTTAAAATTGTTATATATATATATATATATATATATATATGTATATGAATTAGAGTTTCATGAAATTTACGTACAAAATGTGAAAATGTTTAATAAACTTAAATGTAATATTTTATTTACTCATTTGTTTTGTGCTGGACATTGGTTGGACCATATTTTCAAACATTACACCAACATCGATCAACTTTGTGGTATAGACGAACACGAAGAGGAATCAAATTAAGAAACATTGGTTGATAAAGGCTAGCATTCGTGGCTTTTCTTTTTGCCACGTGGCACACCCTGCACCGTGAAACAAACTTCTGCACTTTGTAGCGCATAGTAGGCCAAAAAATGATGCACTATCCAGAGCCAAAGTGCGATCTCACCCAACATGACCCTCTCCGTGAAACTCCTCAATCGATTTCAGACAAAGACTGTAATCTGGTATACACAACTGAACGCCTCAAAACACATAACCATTCTCTAATAGAAAGGGGGAATGGGATTCCTGCAGTAAACTGTGGAAAATGGGGCCAAAATAAGGATCATCAGCATAAAGAGAGGCAAAGGTGTCAAACCCGATAACTGCCACCTGTAGATGTGCTAATAACCCATGACACCGACTGAGTGCGTCTGCCACACGATTAGATGAACCAGCCTGATGCTTAATGACAAAGTTGAATTGTTGTAAAAAGGCAACCTACGATGCATGACAGGCAGACACAGACTCTTGACTGGACAAATGTTTGAGGGCTTCATGATCACTGTATAAGACAAATTCTCGCTCAAATAGATAATGTCGCCAATGGCAAATTGCCTGAACAACGGCATAAAGTTCTGCATCATAAGTGTTATACCTCCCATGAGCCCCTGCTAATTTCTGACTGAAATGAGTTACTGGTTTTCCTTCCTAAGGAAAGCTCCGATGCCCAGTTTGGAGGCATCACAATGTAATGCGAAAGGCTTTGTGAAATCAGGCAACGCAAGTATCGGGACTGAAGTCAAGCGTTCCTTAATGGTCACAAACACCTTCTCTACCTCGGGAGTCCACTGAAACTTACTCTCCTTCATGCAATCAGTAATGGGAGACGTGATGCTACTAAAGTGCATGTTACATGAATGGAAAGATGTTAAAATCCCCAAATCCGATCGAGATCTTTCATGGCTTTACCAAAATATTTAGCCTTCCGTGGAGTTTTTGTGCCCAAGATGAGAGAAAAGAGATAGGAGATCATGTGGGCGTTCTCCCCTATTTTGGGGTGATTTAGGGCTTAAAATTCGTGGGAGATCAAGTTACCACAAGAGTTTGAACGGAATTATGAAACTAAAGATTCGGCCAAAAATAGTCATGTGCGACTACTTTCAGTATATTGGCCATGACTCTCTCTCCCAATGTCCGATTAAGGCAATTCAAAGTACGTTAAAAAGAAACACAAAAGGCTACAATTTTACTAGAAATAGCTCTTTCCAAATTCGAACTTTTACTGGGTCAAAAGTTGATCTCAATCTCCGACTGAAAATCTGAAAAATCTTTATGTGATTGAAATTTGATTTGTGAATATGTTATGGTCATATTTAACTTCTTTTGACTTCTAATTACACCCAATGGACTCCTAGCTTACTCAAATCATCATTCCATCGCCCGTCTCATCTTTAGATTATTTGTAACTTAGTCCCTGAACTTTCACTTTCTTCATTTTGGTCCCTTTTCGTTCTTTTTTTCTTTATAAATTTCACATTTTCTACCAAAATGCAACCTGAATCAAAGCATAAGTATAATGAGTGCATTTTGATATCAAATAATCACATGAATACAATAATTAAGAGAATAAAATATTATATTTTACGCTCTTATCCCATCCCATATTATTTGTTCGGTTTTCTGCAATTTTCTCCATTCCTAAAAGGGCTTAGTTGATTTAATTCTCGAATGGATTCATTAAGAAAATGGTTTTTTTGCATAACCGCGAAGAAAATTTTTGGGACGGATCATTTCGATTTTGGATCTAGGACAAATCCCTCCTGGCCCAACCCTTAACAATCGAAAACAATTAATGAAAAAACTTTTTTTAATGAAAGTGAAGGACCTACGACTGTAAGAACTCAAAGGCCTTTCCCCTAGAATCAAAAATAACTGATTAATCTTTCTACTATGAACGAAGAAAGGCATGAGAGAAAAGCTCATTTGCATTCTTGATTCGTCTTTTGGGTCATCTTTTGGATATTTACACTTTGGTCCCTGAACTTTCGATTTCTTTCGTTTTGGCCCCTTTTTCGTATCTTTTCTCTTGAGTTTCATTATCCATCAATATGGTCCTACAAAAGAAATTGCATAGAATTAAGCCATATCCAATCAATTTCATCAATAATTAGTCATGCTTTGTGGACCGAATAAGTGTTTAAAAGCGCACTTATCAGGGGGCTGTAATTAGAGTTTGCTAGCTGATTTGGGAAGCTCGAGTCACCCCTCTTGGATAAATACTCGTATAGTTTGGGTTGTCCCCAAATGAGCTGGAATAGGATGGAGCCAAATTAGAGGATCTTGATCTAATTCGGCCGACTGAAGCTTCAGCTCGCTTAAGGGACTCGTTGCGATCCTCTACCCATTGGGCTAGTTCCACGATCTGGCCCAATCGTTGTGGCCTCAACATTCTCACTTCTACCCTAATTGATACAATCCCAGCTACTGCAGGCCAACTGTGATGGAAGGAAGAGCTCCTGCTGGAGAGAAAAACAATAATATAACTTGGCTTTGTTAGGAACAAATGATTGAACTATAGCTAACACTCAAGGTTACAGAATAATTAGTAGTTTATTAATAGAATCAAGTGAAGAAACAAAATAGATACAAGCTCGGGGCTATTAGAGAGGCCCCGTCCCTCCCCCTACTCCCAACTAAAAACCAGTACATCAATGCCTTCCCCACCCCTTTACCTTCCACATTTATTTGCATTTCCTAACATAGACTATTACATTTCTACCCCTCTCTAATTAACTCAACTGACTTGGCAAAACAATTAGGATCATTGTTCTTCTTTCTTCTGGCATAGGTGAACTAGATCGGAGGCCTATCATGTTTGTCTTCTTTGCATTCAAACTTGTAATAAAGAAATACATAATATCTCATTCGTCAGGAATTTTATTGATAGCATCCTTCAAAATCTTGACTAATAAGTGATACTTGATTATATGCTAATATTTTTTGTCCAAAGTACCTTTAAGATCTTGCTAAAAAAATAGCCAAAATTATATTTGTTACCAACAAAGTTTTGTACTTTGAAGAACTCTTCTCAAGAAAATCTTGCAGCTAGGAGAGGGAATGGTTGAAAAGAGATAATCTGGCAGCCAAAGCTTTCTTAAAAGAAGTAGAGCCACTCATTGCCCTAGTGGGATTTGATAAAATGATAGTGTTAAAAAAAGTTGAAGAGAGCAATTTTCAAGAGATTTATATTTGTAGAGTTCTAATGAATCCCCTCCCCTTCTCACGTGGTCTCTTCTTTGAATCAACCAATGATATGATAGTCTGTTTGATGATATAAAAGATAGGTTGGGAACCCAAAGGTTACGCTTAACAATGGTTGAGGACTTCGACTCAAATTTACCCAAAAACTGTTGAACATGGAACTGGAAGACGAGGAAAAAATGTGTATTTCTTTGATCTCGTAATTTGAATATTATATACTCACATCACATATTCAATAATAAAGCTAAAGTTCCTCTTATTCCCTTAAATTCTAAATTCCATTACACATGGGTCATGTCAACTATAAATTTCAAAGATTTACAGTTTTCATATAACTCACATTCTCCTAATCTTTGAATGTTTTATTTTCCTCATTATATTCATCCATTTTTAGAGGTCATAGAGAATATTTGGTCGAATTTTTATAATGCAAACGAAATTGTACCAAACTGGCTGAAAATCCATATAATTAGGCATCATAAAGCAACTTGCCAGAGGTGGTATAACCAGATTTTGGTAAGTTGCCTGCTTAAAGAACTAAAATCTCAACTACGCTGTTCCATTTTTTTAGAAAGGAGAAATCACATCCATATAGTTGGCCGTGTTTGAAGCTAACATTTAATGACTGAACAAATATTGCAGTTGCATGAAGATATCATGTTCATTAAGTATAAGGGAAAGGAATAAGAAGTCCTCTAGAACCTTTGATAATAAGTAACATGGAACATCATAACATAGATTGAAGGCATAATATAGTTACGGCATACCACTTAGCAGCTGCTTTCAAACATTCCATCAGTTATAATATGAGCACCACAGAGAAGAGCTCTTAAGCCAATCCTAAATGAGCGAAAGCATAATATTCGAATTCAATTTATAGACAATATGATGAAATCAACCAATGATACCTTCAATAACAATGTCATCGTGACAAGAGACAGAACAAGCATAAAAGCCCACATATATATGGCCAAGTAGGAACCTACTTTCTACGACCAGCCATTCACTTAAACGATTAATCTCTTTCTTTCTATCAATACTTGCTGAAGTGATTATTTCCATATATAAATGTTGAGAACATTAAAGGGAAAGAAAACAAAATATAAATCTTAAATAAAAACTTAGCAAAAAAATCATATTGATCCATAAGTAACTATTATCATTACCAAACTGGATACAAAGAAAACATACATGTAATATTACAATTATGGCAGCTACAATAGGCCAATCACTATAGTTAAGATAATCCCTTTTATCATGTCCCTAAAGACTAACCATTCTATTTGCTGTAGAAGGAGAAATCAAGTTTCAAAGAAATAAGTTGATAATTAGGGAGATAGAATAAAAAAGGAACAACATGCCCGCAAAGTTAGAGAGAAACAATGAAGAAAAAATGACCAAAACTTCAAAGTGAATACATTGTTGAAACCATGGCGAGCCTCAATTACAAAAGTAGAGTAAAAGGAAAATGGCAAATCAGTTATCTATATAAGGATTTAAAATAACCGGCAGAAACACAGATTCGTCGACAGAGAAAAATTCTATCCAGAGCTAACTCAAGATCTTCATTGTTCTTCCAAAAATAAGAAACAAATGAGATCCCAGCACCAAAAAAAAATAATAATAATAAAATAAAATAAAATATTACCTAACAGAGATCCTGCTACTACGATGAAGGAAAACGGGAGTTCTAATGGAACGAGAGTGAGTTAGGGCGCAATCTTTTGGGTGATTGATATCACTACCTATGTTGCTGGCTCGTCTTATTTCTTATGTTTCATTCGATAGAGATTGGAGAAGGTTTAGAAATAAAATAGGTACATATACGAAAGATTTTTTGCTATGAACAGTAGGGATCTAGTTCTTGAACAGTGGAGACCAGTTTCTACCAGATCCAGCGTAAGAGTTTTGTAGCACAGTACTGAACCAGTTGAGAAGCTAGCTCGACTAATAAGGTTTGGGGGACCAGCAAAGTGTGAATACCTAGGTCAAAAAATGACATTGCAATTCCGTCCACTCTTTTTAAGTAGGATTATAGTTAATTGAGAAATTTTTTGTAAAGGCTAAATTTGAATTTCTTTAGGAATTTTTTAAATAGCTAATTGTTAAAAAATTTCATGAAAAGCAAATGGCGGATGTGGAGACGGGAGGACGAGATGTGGAAGAAAGAATAGTTTAAATGTTAAAATCGAAAGGTATTGTGATGAAATCTTGGATGTATTGGGCTTCTTCACTTCTTATTTGGACATTGCCAATGTGGGCTAGAGTGTAAAAGTAAATAAATAAATAAATTGGGCATTTGGTTTGGGCCCAAAAGTTCGCAACCGATTTTCATGGGCCAACCCATGAACTAATCCAACCCAACTTACCTTCTTAACCCAAAACCCGAACCCACCTATGAAATATTTTACTTTCTGCAATGTTTAATAAACTTTGTGTGAAAAGTTCAACTTTTCGCAATGTGTATTAATCGTTGTGAAAATTTTCTCTTTTTTGCTATGTTTAATAAATGTTGCGATAAGTTTAACTTTCTGCAACATTTATTAAATGTTGAAATGAGAGAAACTTTTCACAATGTTGAAAGTAAACATTGTTAAAAACTATATATCTAAGTATCCACAACGGTGATCAAGTATTGCTATATAATGAACTTTTAACAACAGCTAATAAACATTGTGAAAAATAAAACTCTTTGCAACATTCAATAAATGTTACAAAAAAGCGACATTAGAAACATTCTTTTGGAAAATGGTACCAAATGTGAATTATGCTTACCAATGGCAACATTCACTTACATTTTTGTTGCGATAGACATTTTTAGTTAGCAACATTCAAATAACAAATATTGCATTTCAAGTGTTGCAAAATGCCATTTTTGTTGTAGTGACCCACCTCTTCATCCACGGTACAAGGTTGTAATGAATGGGTTAATTCACAGGTCAAATGATATGCAGCAGAGGGAGTTTAGGAAGAGCAAATTGATGAAGCAATATCAGGTGGTCCTGGTGATAAGCATTGTAATCGGCCTTTGTGTTTAATGGATTTGGCTACTGATCAAAGTGAAGACCATTACAGTAATTTATGTGATGTAGTTGATCTCGATGTTTGAAAGTAGGGAATAATTAGTATTGTAGTTGCTAGGCTATTCTTGTTCTTTTGAAAGTGCAGTTGGTATGTTGCTATTGGCACTATGTATTGCGTTAGTTATTTCCCTGATTGAAATGAAAAAAATAAAAATATTCTGATTTAAGTCTGTTGTTGTGCCTATTGATTATTTCTAGAAGTCCTGGATATTCTTGAGTTTTGTTCATGATAAATCCTTTTTTAAATCCTTTAATATTCTGTAGTATGCACTGCGTAGTTATGGAATGATGAATGTACTATATCCAATGTTCTGGAAATCAAAGTTAAAAGTAGATAGACTAAAACAGAAATAACAATTGCTTCAGGAGCAAAATTGGAAACAAAAAATAATGAGAAGGCTTGAAACATCTTCTTCTAGGTAGTGATGAATTTATATCCCCACTTGTTAGCATGTCTTAAGAAATTTATGTGTAATGAGCTTAAATTTTACTTAAATTTGATATTGTATTTGTGAAAGGTTTATTTCCTATTTCTATTCAGCTTCTACAATGAAGTTAAATCAGTGGTTATCAAATTGGTAGTCACAGTGATTTAATGGTTTTTCCCGTTCATCCGACAGCCTTAATATATGAATGAGAACATCAGCATTTGGGGCTAATGGTGATTTTTCCTAATTGTTGTCAACAACAACATGAAGGGTGTCAAATAATCCAAGACGTAATATAGCTGATATACACAACGTACAGAAAAGAACTTTAGCCATTGATCAAATGAAGTGAAAATCAACTAATAAATTTGCCAGTAATAAGCCATCAAGACAAAAACATCAGCAAAAATTCACTAGTACAAATCATCTGAAATGTTCAAACAAAAATCCATTAAAACAATCAGTAATGAGTCTTATATCATTAGTGAAAAGCCACCTGCAAAATGGAACTGATTTACATTAATAGTTTCAGCGTCTTGACACAAAAACAAAAACAAAAATACAACTATCTTGTACGACAGAACTACTGCACAGTTGTAAAACTAGAATATAATTCTGATAGTTACTACTGAGTTGCTGTATTCTGCATTTTTTTGGTGGTGCAAATGGAACTGAGCCTCCGACAATCCTTTTTCTTGGTTCTTTATATCTTGCAAATCTTCCACTAAGGATTCAAGTTCTATACTTGTCCTTGGCATCTGCAAATTAGCTGGCTCATTAAGTGGAGGACAATATGTTAAGGGAATAAATCCCACATCGGTTAAATACCGAAATATTGACCAATTTAAATAGATCTTGGACCACTCCTCTTAACAAGGTTGACCTTATTAAGATGGACCCCAAGTCTTAACATGGTATCAGAGCCCAATAAGCTCTAACGAGCTATCCGATTCGATTAAGTCTCAAAAATGAGCACACGGATTTCAAGATTGGTCTGCTCAAAAAAAGCCACCATCTTGCGGGGGCATGTTAAGGGAATAAATCCCACGTCGCTTAAATACCGAAATATTGACCAACTTAAATAAATATTGGGTCACTCCTCTTAACAAGGTTGACCTTATTAAGATGGACCCCAAGTCTTAATAGTTCACAAATTTTGCAGCACTTGCTAAACCAATCCCAGGTGTGGGCATGAACTGAAAATCAGATGGTTGTTCTGGTCGTTGCAATGCCCCTCTTGTATTACTCTGTGGCCTCCTAGGCACGAGTTTGACCTGTAAGAAGGGTCAGACGTCATATAAACAAAAAAACATATTGGGATAGTTTGCATATAGTATTTTATTTGAATAGTTTTCATTACCCTTGTATTGCCTTTCATAATGTGGCTTGACCTTTGTGTTGTCGTTCATAATAGTTTTTTATTTGTTTACGTCGAATTCTGTTGATGTAACTTTTTGGTATTTTACGCAAGTAAATGGTTTAGATGCTTAATTTATCTATTTTTATTGGTTTCAAACATGTCTAGAATGAATCATGGGCAACAAAAATGTCTTTGCAGCCAAAGTGTGCATATAATGAACAACAATCACGTGTTTAATGGACAAAAATAACCATCTCGACTAGGACTGCACAAAAAAATCGCGAAATCGCAAACCGAACTGAGTTGAAACTGTTGGTTCGGGTCCACGTGGACCCGTGGTTTATTTTCCCTCAAATCGAACCAAACCATTTCAAAATAGTTTGGTTTAAGTTTTAATTTTTAAAAACCGCACAAAACCGAACCGAATCGCTTTTAAAATTTTTAATTAAAAATAAATTTTATTAACTTAAAAATTTACAGTTTTCATTTTTAAAAAAATTATCAATTCAGCAATACAAATTACAACCAATCTATTGAAATAATCATAGAAAGTAAATTAGGGTCATCATTATGACCTATAATTTAATAGGTTTATAACACATGTCCTCACCCAATATTTAAACTAAACTAAAATATCCCAAAATCATATGAAATGAAGAAAATATATATATATATATATTTTCAACAACTCAAATTATAATTCAACAAAACTATGTCAGCAAATCACGTCCAAAATTTCAGAAACTCTCATTTCCCTAACATTTGACACTTGTTTGCCACTGCTGAATGAATCACCAGTCGTCTTTGCCTGTTAGTCCACTAATCTCTACTTGAATCATCTCTTTTTCTCTTCTCTTTCGATAAGTCTTAAATTTTTATTCAAGTTATTTTTCCATTGTTCTTTCTTTTATTTTTTTTAAACTTATTATACACTTGTGAGTTGTAGTTTAGATAGAAAAATGATTGTTTATGTGTCTAGATGATAATGAACTTATTTGTGATTTGAAAAGAATGAAGGGCGGAGCGCACTAATTGTGTGAAAATGTTAAAATTCCCTAACTAGTACTATTACATTATACTTTCATAAAGTAGTTAGAGGATAAAATTTGTCAATTCCCAATAAGTTAAAACTCTATCAATCTTTGTACATCTAAACATATCATATTCAATCTTATTTAACATCTTAACTAGCAAAACGAAAGGAGTTTTAAACAAACTATAATAATAGAATGTAACTCTACATTTACCAACCGCTATACGATTATATGAATGTCAAACAAGAAAAGGTAAATAAAAATGAAGAAATATGTATTTGTTCTATTAACATCTTTCAGAACCAACTTTGATAATAATTTATCATGGGTTTCATGGTAAATATGAATGTAATTTAATATTTAACATCATTAGTTTTCGTTTAAACTTTTATTTAACTTATGTTAAATACATTACTATAATGTCGAAAGGTAAATCGCAGATTAAAACTGAACCAAACCGCAAATTATCGTTTCGTTTGGTTTGGTTCGAGAAGTAAAATGATTTGGTTTGGTTTCAAAAAATTTCAAACCGCATAAAATGGTTTGAGTTAAAAATATAGCACAAACTACCCAAACCGAACCGCATTCACGCCTAGTCTCGACAAGTCTTCCACATTTATAGTATAAAATTGAAGAATCCATCCAAAAAATAGTATAAAATTTACCTTTTTGTGGTCCCTCCTCCACTCTCTGAAAAAGGGCTTCCTCCATAACTACATTGCCTTCCATTTCTATACTTCTTGGGTCTTCTAGGTTCCTTAAAACCACAACAAGAATGTTTCTATGTTTTGTGGCCAAATTTTAGTTGAATCGATTTAGGAGAAAAAAGTAGGGTTCGCACTGATTTCGAATAAACTATGCACTGATAAGTGTGTTTTTGCACACTTATTTAGCTAATAAACATGACTTAATTACTAGCAAAATGTTTAAATTGTGACTTAATCTCGTTGAATTTATGTATGTGTTTCTATGAAAATGGTGGAATTCAGGAGAAAAGAGCCGAAAAATGACTAAAATGGAGCAAAGTGATAGTTCAAGGACTAAGGGTG